TATGCAATTTTGCCTGATATTTAAAGATTTGTGTAAAAAAACAAAACAAAGAACACTGTAAGCCAACCTTTACCAATGACTAACATGCCTAAACCTCTACTTTTTATTTTTCTGATTCAGACACTTGTTTACTATATGCAAAATACTGAGAAAAGTACAGATAAAAAGCAATTAGTGCCCTCAAAGAGCTTGGCAGAAAAACACATAACAACAGCAATGTTTCAATGGTGAGTTGAAATATGTAGTTTTAAATTTTTTTTTTTTTACTCCTGATCAACACTTGCTTTGTTTATTTTATTTAAAAAAACCCATCACAACCCCATGCTGGAGAGAAGAGACACAAACCAATGTCAAACCCACTGGAGCAGGGGACTTGCTCCTGCAAGGTTCCCAAGGCTGTAAATCCTTATGAAATCAGACTGCCACTTCTTTTCCTAGGTGGTGGGTTTGAAACTGTTGACCTTTCAGTTAGCAGCTTAACAACCACGAGATACCAGGCCTGAGATATATAGAGAGAACAAAGGGAGGGAAACCTTACTTTAGTAACCATTTACCTTTCTTATAAACTTGATCGGCCCACCTACTTTCAGTGTAGAAGGCTACAAATATTTTTTTTTTAATTTTTATTGTGTGTGTGTGTGTGTGTGTGTGTGTGTGTACCATCAAATTGGATCTGACTGGTACAGGGGGAGATGGCCCCTCCTTCTCCAGCAGAGCATCTGGTGGAGAAGGCTACAAATTTTTACTTCATGAAATTTACAATAATACTTATTGAGATGAATTACCTATAAGCAAAGCTAGATTGATCAGGGCCAATTCGGAAAAGAATAAACCCATGTACAGAGAGAGAACAAAGACCACCATTCCTAATCTCTAGTTCATTACAGAAACAAAAAAAGAGAACAAGACTAAACCCTGCAGGTAGGATCACAAAGCAATTTCTATCTCAACGGCAAATGACAAACCAACCATACCTCACCTCTATCATCCCAATTCACTGTCTGTAGAGTTATCCTCCCCCCTTCTTGAATGATGAAGGTGAACACGCATTGTAAAATAAAGGGTAGCAACAACCTCCTGGTTCTGTAGCAATTTATTACACATTTTTTTTGCCCAATGTGGGAAATCTGCTTTGGTAAACCTCAGGCTTCGATTCCCGCAGGTTGCTCCTACTGCCTCGAGGAAGCGTAACTAAAAACTCCGCGTAACCGCTAGGTTCCACTTGGTGCGAGTCGGCGGCGCGCTGGACCAGGACTCCAGGTCCACGGCGGCCCTCTGTCCCACAGTCCCTCCCCCGCTCAAGCTATGCCTTCGCCCCGGACACCGCCACCTTCACCGAAAAGACGTTTCCTTTGGGTGACGAGGGAAAGAAACGTTTTATTTCTAGAGGAATCTGAGCGCTCAGCGCCGGGCAGCTGTAAGGGGGGGAGGCGGGTTAGGAAGGGGGCGGAGAGCTCAGCACCATCCATCAACATCGCCGCGCTAAGAGATCGCACAGCGCCTTCGGGCCTCCACCGCAGCCTCGAAGTGCTTCCTCGCAGGAACGAGGGTCTAGAACCCAGGCTCCCAACCACGAGATTAGAGAGGAGGTCTCGAAGGCGTGGGAAGCGAGAGGAACAAAGCCGCGGCCACCGACGCCCCCGGGTGGCCAGGCGACCCAGGCGGACCCGAGCAGCCCGCTTACCTGCTGTCAGCAACTGCATGGCATGAGTGAAGGATGGGTCTAGTGAATCCTTCTCGGCCATGAGCTCCGGCAGATACTTGTTCTCAGGCTCCATTTTGACAGAGGCAGTTGCTGAGGGGGGCAGTAGCGGGGTCGGCGCCGGACCGACCGTCGCGTCGGGACCGGTGGCCGAGGGCGGCAGCAGGGGTGGCGGCTGCGTGGCGGGCGAGGCCCGGGCGCCCCCCCGGGATCCTCCTCCGCCTCCCCGGGAGCGGTGAGGGAGCGGCGGCTGCCGAGACGGTGGCTGACGCACCGAGGGGTGGCAACCTGAGTGGTCCTTGGAGGAAGTGCGGCCCGAGGACCGGCTCATGCGCGCGGCGGGGTCGTCCCGGCGCTGCATTGGGGAAGACGTGCGGTCGAAGAATCTACGAAGCGACACGGTAGCGGCAGAGGCCCGAGTGGCGGTTGGCGGGGTTAGGAGAGCCGGAGCGACGGCGACCGAAGCCGACCCGAGCGACCCAGCGAAAGAGAGCACCGGAAATGAAGCGGCGCGCGTGCGCAGCCAGCCACCGGCACCGCCCTTGGGTTTCTCCGTGGAGAACAAAGTCCCCGTTCCAGCCATAGCGCCTGCGCACTACCGAGGCGCCCGAACAAGTCGCCTCTTCTCTCCCCTTTTCCCTCCGAGCCCGCCAGGCCCAAGCTTTGTGCGCGTGCGCGAGTGGCCGCGGGCTTCGTTCGTTTTCTTTTCCACGTGACTCGGTGCTCGCGGGACACGTGTCTCCACCCCCTTCTGGCGGACTGCGCGGGGGAGGCTGGGCTCTGGAATGTCTTTGTCTGCGTGCGGGCCGGAGGAGTGTGGGGCGGGAGACCTGTTACTCGGGGGGCCACGCCCCCTTTAACGGCTGAACCGCAGAGCCGGGTTACTTTCAATGGGGGGTTGGTGGAATAAGAAGTCGCCGAGGTATGGAAATGAAAGAAAACCCGATGAGGGACTGTTTAGGAGCGACGAGCGACCAAGAAGATGCTTCAGTAGGGGAGTAGGGAAAGGGAGACTTGGGTGAGGAGGAAAAGGCAGGCGTAAGGCTAAAGAAAGGAGACGAAGAGGGGGACCTTGGTGGACGAAATTGAAAGAGGATGGCTCAGTGGGAAGCAATGAAGGCTATTGAAGGGCTGGGATTTAAGAAGGAAGGTTCAGATTGGAGACCTGGGGTTTAGCGACCAAAAGGACTTCAGAGAGAAAGGGAACCAGAGCTTTATCCCTTGCTTTAAAATGTTACGTGCTAATACCTTGACTGCTGGTAACAGGGTGTGGATTTTGGATCTAAGCAAGTTAAAATGGTTTGAAATGTTAAGTGATGTCTGTTCAGCTACGATTCACTGCGACCCTATGACCTGCCCTAACCTGTTCAATCCTCTTCATCTCTGACATTATATACAGTGAACTCACCATTATAGTCTTCCCCTCCTTCGCCACCCTTCCATCCTTCCAAGCATGATGTTTTTTTTCTGGTCCCTTCTAATAACGTACCCAAAGTATGTGAGACGAAGTTTCACTTACCTCCTTTATCCTTACCTCCAAGGAGCACCCTGGCTGCACCTTGTCTAAGACATATTTATCCTTTTGGCAGTGCATGGGATATTCGGCACTCGTCTCAAAACACCACAATTCAAAGGCATGAATTATTCTTCTGTAATCCTTATTCATTGTCCAACTTTCATCTATATAGTAAGTAATTGAAAAGGTCGTAGTTTAGATCAGATGCATCTTAGTCTTAAAACTGACATCATTGCTTTTCAGCACTTAGGAGAGGCCCCAGAAAGTAGATTTTTCCAGTGCAAATCTTTTGATTTCTTGCCTACTGCTACCTTGAGTGTGGATTGTGGGTCTAGGTAAAATGAAATAGCTGACAACTTCAATCTTTCTAGCTTAATGGTGCTTACTGGTCTAGTTGTGAGGATTTTTGTTTTCTTGATGTTGAGATGTAACCATATTAAAAGCTGTAGTCTTAGTTCCTCTGCAGCAAGCATTTCAACTTCCCTTAACTTTCAGCAAATAAGTTTATGTCATCTGCATAAAGCAGGTTGTTGGTGAGTTTTCTTCTGATCCTGATGCCACATTCTTCATATAGTCCAATTTCTCGAATGATTTGTTTTTGCACACAGACTGGATAGGCGTGGAGAAAAGATACAGCCCAGCCATACACCTTTTCTATTTTTAAGCCACACAGTGTTCCCTTGTTTTGTTCATATAACAGCTTCTTGAACTTTCAGAGAACATAAGGGCTTGGCTATCTTTTTTTAAGGAGGAGAAATGAACTACAGAAATTAGAACAAAATACAAGCATCTCCAAAAAGACATTAAAAATATTTTACCAATCTTACTCTGCCAATTAAATGAGAACATTTCTTCCCTCCCTCTTTTATTTTTCTCTCACCAGTCTTTGATGTAGGACTTTAAGCTTAAGTAAGAAGTAACTCTTATTCTCTGCTTATAGTCTAATAGGAAAAAAATATTTTAAATAATTGTAAGGCAGAATGCAGGGTGACAAGTTCCACAAGATAAATGAAAATTAAGTGTCGCTGGAGAGCAAAGAAGAAGAGAGATTCTGGCCAGGCAAAGGAAATGAGCAGAGATTAGAATATAAGAAATGCATTCAAGGAATTAGAGTAATACACTTGTGGACTAAAGATTAGACAGACTGGGTGGAGAGAGCAAACTGCATGGAGGAGGAAAAAAGAGCAAAGGGAATTTATAGCTCCCTTGCAATTAGTTTCTGTGGCTGTCCCTGAAAATTTTGCTTGAGTGGTAGTGTAACAAATGACTGAAGTGTCCTTGTTCTGTAATGAGATGCCTAGATGGTACCTTGAGCTAAGACTAATAAAACTTTGATAAAGAAGTGTCTAAGAAGGAGCTGGGTAGTGGTGCCTGTGGGTTTTTCTAGACTAGGATCAACAGACTTTTTGGGTGATTGCCAAACCAGTGCTTTCTCTGAGCATGGATGGAGTTGAGGGAAGCCTGTGTAACTTCCATCCATGGGGAAATGAGCTGACTTAACTACCTCCTCTATAGTGTCAAAGGAAATAAAAGGCCCTGGGCTGGAGAATTTTTCTTTCAAGCACAGTTAATCTGCTCAGTCTTTTCTTTTTTATTTTTAGCTGAGTGAAAGTTTGATTTTTTTTTTAACCATACAACAATGTCTTTTATTACACATGAGTTTTAAAAATTATGTTCTTACTCTCTCCATACACAGGCAATAATAAATGTACTGCTTAATATATTTGAACTTGCGAACCTGATCATTATTCAAAGAAGGGAAAAAGTATTCTTAAAGCACAATTAACCAGGAGGCCAATTCATCTGCCAGCCTCCAAGAACATGGAGATGAACATGATAGATACATTGTCCCTTATCTGAACCTTCAGTCACCACCATTTGATAACCCCTTTCCAGGCCCAGATCAGTAGCACATTTCTTGTTAACAATCATAAGATGTCCAAGAAGACTTTCATTATCTTCTGCTACAGAAATCTGGGTAATAGGTTTCTTAGGTATGACCAGACAATATATTGGTGCTTGAGGTGAAATGTCATGAAAAGCAAGGCACCGCTCAACCTCAAAAATGACTTTGGCTGGGATTTCCTTGTAGATGATCTTCCTGGAAATTGTATCACCAGCAGGTCTAGCGGTCTGAGCCTTGTGATCTCATCTGGCATCTTGATCACCTTCCTTAGCCATGGCTCAGGGAGAAGCACAGGAGGAGGAAGGAGTGGGGGGTGAGGAGGGGGCAAAGGGAGGTGGGAGTGCACCAAAAGTTTCCAAATTATAATGGTTTTTCATACAATCATTCATAAATATTTTGTTTTATGGCATTACTATATCTAATCAAGCCTTTGTTATTATTTTCCTTTTACCTAAACTATTAATTTTTACCTCTCCCTCTCTCCTTTCCCATCCCTAGTAACCATCTTTTTATAGTTCTTCTTTTGTTTTAGGTAAAAGGTCATAAATTGGTTTCCCATCCAATAGTTTATAAAAAAAGTATTTCATGACATTGTGTTCCCAAACATTGTTGCATTCCCTACATTGTGTCAGCATTCTCCTTATTTCTGTCTGGGGCTTCCTGTTTCCTTTCATCTGGATTTTTCTATCCATTCCTGCCTTCTCATTTTAACTTTTAAGCATATGTTGCCTTTGACCTGTATGATTTTGTTGTTGATTGCTGTCCAGTCGAACACAACTCATAGTGGCTCTATGAATAAAAGACCTAATGCTTTTCTATAACTATAATCGTTTTTCCAAGTTCATAGAGTTTCCAGAGGCTTGTGGTTTAGGAAGTGGATGCCACTCCTGCTTCCAAACTTGTTTTACAACTGAGTTGTAAAACAGGGAGCTCCACTAAACACTTTGTACATTGGGAAACCATTATGGTATTTGATATCCCAATGGCACAAAGTTCAGCATCACAGCAAACCCAGATTACTTCATACAACACATTGACAAAGAGTGATGTACAAAATGGAAGAATGTTCCTCCAGATATAACAGCACTAGTCTGTCTCATTTAGCAGTGGTTGTTATTGTTATGAGCCGTTGAGTCGCTTGTGACTCATAGCGACCCTATGTACAGCAGCCCTAAACTCTGCTCTGTCCTGTGCCAATTGCACCCTCTCTGACACACCCATCCCGATTACCCCAGCCACTGAATCAATCCATCTCATAGGGGGCCTTCCCCTTCTGTGCTGTCCCTCCACCCTTCCTAACATGATGTCCCTCTCCAAGGACCTGTCTTTCCTTGCAACATGTCCAAAGTATGTCAGACAGAGCCTTAGGATACTTGCCTCCAAGGAGCAGCCCGGTTTGACCCTTTCCAGTATAAATCTGCTTGCTTTCCTAGCAGTCCATGATACCCTCAATACTGTTCTCCAGCACCACAGCTCAAAGGCATAAATTCTCCTTCTCTCCTCCTTAGTCATTGTCCAACTCTCTGATGCATAACAGGTGATAGCAAAGACCATGGCCTGTATCAGGCACACCTTAGTCTTCAAAGAGACACCATTGCTCTTCAGTAGTGTCTTCAAATAACACTCATAGCGATCCTTGCACAAAAGACCTGAAATCTGTTCTAGAACATAATTTATGTTTATTGACCTATATAGCTGACTATTTTTATGACCTATCCAACTCTGAATGTGGGTTCATAGGGTTGCCATGAGTTGTACTTGACTCAATGACACCTAACAACAACAACAACTATTCAGCAGGGAGCTCTGGTGGCTGAGTGGTAAGGAACTGTACTGCCAATTCAAAGGTGTGTGATTTGAATCCACCAGCTGTTTCATGGGAGAAAGATAATCTTATCCTGTGCAATTTACTGCCTCTGACAGACCACTGGAAGGCCAGCTATATGGGTTGGTTCTGACTTGCAGGTACTTAACAACAACAAATCTATTCAGCAGGGAGCTTAGGGGTAAGGAATTGCACTACCCACCCAAAGGTACATGGTATGAACCAGCTGCTACACAGGAGAAGGATGGGCAATCCCTGTGCAATTAACTGCCTCTGAAAACCTGCTGGAGGCTCTGCTATGGGTCAATTCTGACTCAATGGCATATAACAACAATACCAACAAAACTTACTGGAGAGTCAAGTGAGGGTTGATTCTGACTTGATGGTGGTTGTTATTATGTGCCATTGAGTGCCTGAGACTCATAGCAATCCTATGTAAAACAGCTCTAAACCCTGCTCTATCCTGTGCCAATCTTATTGTCTCTGACACACCTAACCCCATTACTCCAGTTACTGAGTCAATCCATCTAATCCAGGGTCTTCCTCTCTTGCACTGTCCCTCCAACCTCCCAAGCATGGCCTCGCTCTCCAATGACTGTTCCCTCCTTGCAACATGTCCAAAACATGTCAGACAAAGCTTCAGAATGGTTTGACCAATGCAGTCCTAGATGTGCCCACCAGTTGTTATGTGCTATCAAGTCGTTTGTGACTCATAGCGACCCTATGTACAAGAGCTCTAAATGCTGTTGTATCCTGTGCCAACCTAGCCATCTCAAATGCACTTATTCCCATCGCTCCAGTCACAGAATCGATCCATCTCATCGAAGATCTTCCTCTCCTTCGCCGCCCCTCCACTCTGCCAAACATGATGTCCCTCTCCAAGGATCAGTCCCTACTTGCAACATGCCCAAAGTATGTCAGATGAAGCATCAGAATCCTTGACTCCAAGGAGCATTCAGGCTTCACCCTCTCCAGGACAAACCTGTTTGTTCTCCTAGCAGTCCAATGGTATATTCAACACTCTTCTCCAGTACCACAGCTCAAAGGCATCAATTCTCTTTCTATCAACCCTATTCACCATGCAACTTTCTGATGCATAACATGTAATTGTGAAGACTATAGCCCGGATCAGGCATACCTTATTCTCCAGCCTGA